TAGCCTTTGAAACAACATAATTGACATGAGGACCTTCAAGAATGATAAGTTCTTCTCTAAATAGATTACAAAATATAATATATTTGATATAATAACTTTTGAAGAGATTCTTGATGTTTGGTGATTTTATCAAAGGTATAAATGACTCTTGATGGTCTTACAAATGTTTTATTTAAAGGAAGTTATAAAACCCTCAACAATAACCAAATAATATTGTGATCTTCTTGCTTTTGAATGCGACATTATTGATGGATGATAGGACCTATCAACCACCTTCAAAAAGAAATAAGATTAGAATATGTAACAAACATAATTCGCCACATCTTAAACTTTTCAACATATAATGACTGCTCTTTATGGAATTCATTTCAAGAAAGAGAAATAATGTTATGGATATATACATTTATTTAAATAAGAAGCGTTAAGTAGAAGATAAATATAAGTAGATTTGATTTTATATTATGGTAAATCTTTTTAGAAACTTTATAGATACATATTTGATTTTATTCATATTTATAGTTGATTGATACGTTAAAAACTTTGTCAACAAATTAGCCATGTAATGCATGTATAGATAGCTTGTAGTACAATTAATATTGTGGTGCATATATAAGAAACTTGCTTTGCGAGTTATAACACATGTCTTGCAAATTGAATACATATTAGAGGTCTTATAGGACGTCACCATGTAGCTCCTAGTTAGATAGTATATATAGAACCAAGACTAAAGCCTTCTTCATTCTTATCAATGTCTTTTTCATTTTTAATCTTATTTCAAGACTTTTTAGTCTTCTTGTCTTTAGCAATAGCCATTATAGTTCAATATATTATCATCTTTGAGTGATTTTCTAATTTTTTAAAGTAACATAAGAATATTGAGATTTTTTTTTTTTTTTTAAGTTCAAGTCCTTCATACTAGACTATATGATCCTTCTAGATCTTTTTTGTATAAATTATTATTTAATTCAATAATAAATTTTAGTACTAATAATAAAAGATGTTTATTTTTTATGGTAATTTTATTAAGTGTTAATAATCTATACATATTTATAATAATCAATCTTTTTTCTTTATATGATAAAAACTCTTGCTTGAGATTTTGAATGGCATATGAAGTTCTTAGCTATATTCTCATTAATATATTCTTTGAATGGAATCTATTTATTCTATGATAAGCTATAGATTGATCCAAATGGTAGTTGAATTTTTTTTAAAGACCAATTGAATAATTATAAGAATAATGTTGTAAAATAATATTTATATATTTTTCAAAAAAGTCTTGATAATTATAATAATAGCTTAAATTAATAATTAAAGTCTTTCTATCATTAAAAATGGATGTAGCATAAATAAATAAATAAAAGTGTGACTTCTCTTTTGCAACATGCACACAAGCTCTTACACGTCTTTAATAAAAGAATAGTTGTACTAGATTTATAACTTTCTACTTGAATAATAAAATTTTGAATTATTATGTGGATTAAATTACTATTATTAGAAATTTAGTCCATTTAAAGATTATACTTCTTTAACCATAATAAACTTAAAATAATTAAGTTGGAAGAAAATATAATAATATTAAATATTATTAATCCATTATTTTATTAATTATTATATCTAAGAGATAGTTTCATAGATAATATCTCCAAAATATATCTATATATATATATATATATATATATATATATATTTATGATTCTTATAAGTACAAGTTTAATTTTTTTTATTAAGAAATTTATTTTATTTTTAAAATTATTATTATTTAAAAAAATTATAAATAAAATGACCTAATACTTTGGAATCTAATAAGATAAAAAAAAAAAATATTTTTTGATCTTAAATAGATATCTATTATAAGACTAAATAATTACTACAACAAATTTAATTCTACTACAACAAAGTTAATTACTCAGTTGGAGTAGAATAAACTTATTTTTTGATACATTGTGTTATTTGACGACTAAGGTCTTCATTTTAAAATTATTTTTCTTCTTTAGATAATATTAAGTTGTATGCTTAGGTTCTCTATAATTTATGCACAATATTTCTTGACAACATCAAGTCTTTTCTTGCTCCATGATAGATTTCAAATGTACCATTTTAATTTTCATAAGTTTTGGCTTCAATAAATAAGTTATTAAAAGCTTTGGAGTTGTTGTCAAGACTTAACTTATATCTCTTCAACCAAATATTTGTTCTTGGTGTCTTTCAAAAAATTAATTGTTGCTTGTAATGGCTTAAGCAATAAATTCATTCAAAGAGTTGGTTTTTGGCATTGTCAATAATAAATCTTTAATATTATCTTTTAATTCATATTAAAATTAATTGATAAGAACTTTGTCATTTCAATCTATATTGTAAGCAAGGTTTAAGAATTCAAAAGCATATATAGTATCTAAATTTGATCTATTGTAAAAATAGGAGTTTAGTTTCTAATATTCTTTCTAAATTACTTTCTTCCAATGTGGCTATAAACACTTTTAAGAATGAATTTAGATCATACAAGAGTCACAAATCTTTTTTTATGAGAGATGCAAATGAAAAGAGAGTATTTTGAAATAAAAGTACGTTTATGACTCTAACTTAAGTAAATCTATTAGGATACTAAGAAGAATATAAAATTAAATAGAACTTAGCTTGTTGTAGAAATCCTCAAAATCTAGACCTTATTCTATCAAACTTCTCTACCATATTAATCTTTGATCCCCTTATACTTATAATAATAAGAATTTTAAGATTAATTTTTGAGATAGATCTATTTATTTCTTTCAAATGTATAATTTCTTGGCATAGATTTTGAACTTCATTATTAACTTCTTCTATAGGTATAGGAATAGTACCTTCATAGTTGACGTTGATAATATGTGAGATTTTTACCTTAAGATTATTCACAAACTAGAGAAGATTTGCAATAATTACAAATCTATTCTCACTATTACAAAGTTTAGCATAATTTCCATAAAGAAATATAGTCCACTTTCTTTAAAGATAGAATAGTTATTAAAAAAAAAAAAAAAAAAAAAAATGTTGGTTTCAAGGAGGGTAGTTTGCAACCTTTAAGACTCAACAAATCAACCAGGATAATCTTTTTACTTTTAAAACAAAACAAGAATAATGAATTAGCATTCTTGACAAACTGCCAAAGACATGAATTACAAAAAATAAAAGATCAATATATTCTTATATTACTAGATAAAAATAGATAATCACTCCAAGATGGTATAATATTAAGTTATAATGACTATTACCAAAGACTAGAAAATAAGAGGATCTTGAATAAGACTAAGAATAAAAAAGACATTGATAAAAATAAAGAAGATTCTATTTTTGATTCTATATATATACTATCTATTTAGAAGCTATGTGGCAATATTTTGCATGATCTCTAACACATATTCTATTTGTAAGATACGTATCTAACTTGTAAGATACGTATCTAACTTGTAAGATAAGTTTTCTATATGTGTGTCATATTGCCAATTTTATTTTTATTTAAATAAATAAAATATTTTATAATTTAATATAAAAATAAAAATAATTTCTTTTATATACATTTTTTAAAAAAATTATTAATGCTACATCTCTATTTGATATTGATATATCCAATGTGACCTTCACACAACTTAATTCGACTAGAAAGTGCACTTTTATACTTACTATGAATTTAGCACTTTAATATTTGATTCTAATATTGATTAAAAAATGGAATAAATTAAAAATTGGCTTTTGATAGCCAAATCAATATTAATAATAAAATATTTTTAAATTAAAATATTTTTAGAATATTTTTTTTTCTTTGAAAAAATATCTTACAATCTATTTTTTATAAAATATTCATTATTTACCTCTCAACCACCATTCTTTTTAAAGAAAAGAAAGAAAAATATATAAAAAGGATGCATATTATTAGCTAATTTTTTACAATTGGATCACATGGAATATAGCAATATCAATTAAAGATGTAGTGATATCAATTGGAGATGTAGCATTTTCAATTCTCTTCAAAAATGAAAAACAAATCTTCTCTAAATAAATAATTTGAAAAAAAAATTATTATATATCACAAGTATATTATAAGAATCTTAGTATATCAAAATAGTCTACTTAATAAATATAAAAATCAATTACTCCTTTGATTTCCAAAAAAAAAAAAAAAAAAAAAAAAAAAACTTTATTATAAATTAGAGATTGAACCATATATTTTTTTTAATAGTGACTAAGTATGCATCAATAGTTTTTTCACAACATGGTGAAATTCATCATGGATGTAGGAGAGGTGTGCTCTTTGGATCAATTTGTCACACTTGAAATGTATTTTCATTTCTATGAAAGTGGACTATCTGTTAAAAAAACTATAGATCATGTTTTCTAAGCTTATTAATTATGTAGAATCATTAGAATAAGTAAGTGGCATGCACAATCTTCAAAACTTCAAAAGACAGTTGTAGAAAATAAAACACTCTACATTCATATTCAATGCAAGTTGAACTGTATTCAAAGAACTTTAGATAAGATTGCTAATTTAAAAGTATGATGAAAACACACACTAAAATTAAAGAAACCACATGAAATCAAAAAGCACAAACAAAATGAAAAAGGGATATCGATTCCACTTCAAAAGTACAAACAGAACTCGTCTTAGAGCAACAATTTCTGCACAACGAAGCCAGAGTATCTCTGAAGAAACAAAGTTTTACTTTAAAGTAAGTTAAAAGTTAAAGGTGATGCGATGTGAGCGCAAACCCGTTGTAGCGGGTACCCAAGCCCGCGAAAAACACAGGCCTCCGCCTTCGTGCGAGGCGGACGGGGCGTGGGGGCGAAGACGAATCCTTGGAGCCGCATGACGAGGTTGAGACCCCGCCGCGCTCATGCTCGTCGCCGTGCCTGTTGTTGTGGATAAGCAAGCAACAGCGTTGCACCACCCAAACCCACCTCCGCTGTGCCCCTCCCTCCCCGTCCCTTCCTCGGGGAATATACCTCCTCTACGCCTCCCTTGGCTCGCTGACAGTTTGCGTATCTCGCGAATGAGTGGCTCCGTCACTCGAACGAAACGTCTCACTTGTGGCGAGCTCCCCGAGTGGTTGGTTACCTGGCCTCCTCCTGGCTCTTAAATATGCACGCAATCGCAACCTCCTAGACGGTTCGATTCATGGGGGGCGTGAGCGCGGTGCCCTGTTGCAATCTGGTGGCGAGAAGCGTGTGATTGATGGTGTGTCGTTGTAGTGGAGTGGAGTGGAGAGTAGAGGAAACAGGGATTGGAGTGGAGAGGAGAGGAAACAGGGATTGGAGTGGAGCTGAGTAGTTTAGTGTAGGGATTTGCTAGATGTTTGCGGTGGGATTGAACATGGAGTCTGTGCTGTCTAGTAATTCGCTGCGTGTGAGGTTCGCTTGTCATTCGGTGACGCCGAGCTGCGCCACCGCTTCGGGTAGATCCGTAGTCTTGTATAGTAGAGGCGCGAGCCATCGGGCATTTATCTTGCCCTCGTGTTCGGAGGTGCATTGGACGGGCGGGAGGCAATGCATGTCCGGTGCGAGACGGTCGAACTCCGGGAGGACAATCAAGTTGAGGAGTTCTAGGAGGCGCGTGGCAACGATCAAGGCTAGCGTGACGGACTCCCGTAACTTGGCCGTAGATCCACAAAACTCAGGGTTGAGACCTGGCCCAGAGAAGAAGCTGGTTCCTGCTGAAATTGTGCCGGTGCCAAGTGTAAGGGAGGCTGCATTGGCTGAGGGTGAAGAGCCCGGCGAAATTAGCGACGAGCTATGGAAGCTGCTGGTGCTGGTTCCGGAGCACATAGGGCAGAAGTTGGTGGCGCACCCCGAGATCAATGACTTGGTGGAGATTGTACTTGACTTGGGGCGGCGGCCTCTGGCACGATTTCCTTCCGGCGATTGGTACGTCTCGGAGTCGAAAGTTACTGCTCAAGATTTACAGCACGCCATTTCCATGGTACTTTTCTCCTCATTTCACCAATGCCGTCAATGTATGTTGCAAACAATTCATTGTAGGGTTTTGACAGCAATCAAGAGCTTCATGGGGTACTGAATTTGAGCTATAATTGGTAATTACAGACTGGGGAATTTGGCGACGATAACCGAGCAGGTATTGATCGCACACTTCACCGTGTGAGCGCCATGCGAACTCGATCTGGGAGTGTTGTGGGGCTCACTTGCCGAGTTGGGCGAGCTATCTCCGGCAGCGCTGAGATGGTCCGTGATCTGATTGCCAGCAGTAGTTCTTTGCTGCTCATGGGACCTCCTGGTGTCGGCAAGACTACTGCAATTAGGTATGAATCGTCCCACTAGATCATTGGGCTCGGGATGCAGAAACTTTAAAAACTATTACTATGAGTTTAATCACAGGCAAATGTAATTCGCGCAGGGAGATTGCACGCATGTTGGCTGATGAGTATCACAAGAGAGTGGTCATTGTGGACACATCGAATGAGATAGCTGGTGACGGTGACATTCCTCACGCCGGCATTGGTATGGCACGGCGGATGCAAGTGCCCAAAGTCGACTTACAACACAAGGTAAACATCATAATTAATCTGCGGCGTTGTCATCGTTTTGGTGATTGATGTCTCAATGTTCATCCAATTCAGAATTTCAACGTGACTCTCAAGTATGCGTCCCTTGAATCTTGATCTATTCGCATGTGGTTGCAGGTGATGATTGAAGCGGTGGAGAATCACATGCCCCAAGTGATCGTGATTGACGAGATTGGAACTGAGTTGGAGGCAGTAGCGGCCGGCACCATCGCCCAACGAGGAGTGCAGCTCGTGGGCACTGCACACGGCATGACGGTTGAAAACCTGATAAAGAATCCGTCCCTTCAAAATCTGGCCGGGGGCATTCAGGTACGCACACCAGGGTTTGTTCTTCTTACTTTCTATTTAATTGCAGCTTCTCTAATAACCATGTCCTCATTCATTTCACTTCAGACTTATGCGTTGGTTCCCAAATGAAATGCTCACAAGGTTGTTGGGATGGGTGTGAAATTGGAGGTGGTCTAAAGAGTGTGACACTCGGTGATGAGGAAGCTCGGAGGCGACGAGTGCAGAAGAGTGTGTTGGAGCGGCAGGGGCCTCCCGTGTTCACATCTGCTTGCGAAATGATCTCACGAACCGAGTGGCGAGTGCACCGCAGCTTGGCCGCTACAGTGGATGCGTTGCTTGCTGGTTGGTTTCCCTTTCTTCAATCGTATCTACGACGCTCTACATTGCATTTGTTGCACGTTTTCTGTTTCACGGCCGTATCGGAGAATCGGAACTCTAATGGATTTTTGATGAGAAAACTCTCTTGTGTCTACACTAGGTAAATCGCCAAGGGTAGAGGTACGTAAAATGAACGAGAATGGGCAGGTGGTCGTAGGCAATTTGGCCGAGTACCCTTCCCCATCAAGACCAGGCAGCTCTACCTCTGGATCAAGCTCGTCATACGATCTGGACTGGACTGATAATTATGAGGAGGATGATTACGCGGGCGGGGACACCGGCGCAGAGAACGCAGCTGTGCAGGCATGGGAGCGCTCTGATGCTCCCATTCTCTTGTATCTTCACGAGGTAACCAATCCTTTAGAGTTCCTAAATTAGTGCAAATTACTTTAACGGGAATCTCGTTGATCCTCAGCAACGGAGCTTTTGAGCCATGGATTTTGTTCTTTTGTATGTGCTCTCGGCTGGGCTGCCACAGGTCACAGAAGAATCCCTGGAGCAAGTGATGGACGTCATGGGTTTGGAAAACACAGTTCAGATCACAGAAGACATCGGAGCTGCTGATGCGGTTCTAGCGCTCCGCTCGAAACTCAAGTTGAACTCTTGGGTCCGGGGTATGGCCAAGTTTCGGCAGCTTCCTATCTTTGTAATCAAAGCCAACACTATGGCACAAATGGTGAGGGCCATGCGTGCAATTATGAGCATGGAATCACTGGGCAATAATTCCCTCGGCTCCAATCGGTTACGAGGTGACGACGGAGAGAAATCCGAATCGATAATTCACAGGCAACCAAACTCAGCGGAGGAAATTGATGCCTTAGAGGTAAATCTAAATAATTGTATGCTTTGCATACGCACATACACATACCTGTGGTAGCCAAACTGCAATCGTCATGCCTATCTGAGGTTTTAAATTTGATGTTTAAATTGGTGCAGAATGAAGACTGGGGGCTGACCTTGTGATTAAACATGGTGTTCAGGAGGCGCGAGTAGCGGTGGAACAGATAGTGATCCCCAAGGTTCAAGCTGTCGAACTTCTCCCCCGCTCCCCTGAAGTGCTGGCCTTGCAGGTGAAGCTCGTAGAGAGTTATCAATTAGCATGGGAAAAGACTGGCTCCGGGATGAACAAGAGGCTGCGCATTCTCCCTAAGCAATTGGTGGCTAGGAGCAGGAATAGTAGAGGCAGCGATCAGGAGGCTGACGAGGAAGCCTCGGATATAGAGGATGAAGAATTTGATTCCGATGTCGAGGACCTGGGTGTGTCGATAGCGGGAGGCACAAGCCCCGGCAGGTTGCCCATCCTTCCGGACTGATTCTGGAGAACATTCGTCTCCCTAATTCACTTGTGCATAAATGTACACTTCAGTGTAAAATTGTTGATGCTATAGTTTGCAAGCCAGTTCTGTGATGTTGCTTCGTTCTTGGCCAATCTTTGCTGACCGAGATGCTAAAAGCAATTATTAACTTTCGGTTGAAATCCGTATATATTATTGAGTTTTTATGGTCCCACCATCTGAGATCCGATTTCATATTGATGCAACAGTAATGTCTACAAATTCGATCGTCAAGAGATAGAATATAAATAACGAACCGATTGTCTGGTGTCCCACTGCTGGTGGAATCTTTTCCTAGTTACATGAACAAGTCTTACATATCCCGCTAAGAGTAAATACTGTAGTTACAATGACTCCCAACGGGAATAGAATGTTACCCATTTCCGAAATGGAGGAACGTATGTGGGCAAGTATATGTAATGGCACATGATCAATTGCTCTGCCACGGATTGACTAATCGACTCCCAACCAAGGCGAATGGAAGTACCCTCAGATATTTCATAACTCAAGGATTATGGCATGAGCACTGCATCTAACCTGCCGGAGACAGTTGACAGCACAATGTACTCCTTTCATCTAATTTACACTCTTCTTACTCTACACTCTTTACTTGTCGGCCATCCATCGTACTACTGTCACCATAAGAGTTGTGACCATCAATGAAGACATTTTCGGAGCGACGTTCAACTAAAAGTGTCCAAGCATCATACACACCTAGTAGTTGAAACTGATCTTCGTGGTGAAGTAAGTAGACAATTTGGAGCTTTTCTTGGTGAAGGAGTAGACAATTTGGAGCTTTTCTGCCCATCCGTCAGCAGAGGCAGACAGATAGTTGAGCCACTCCAGGCCATTCACCTGGAGACTGATGTTGGCTAAGGTGTCGATCATGACCGGCAGTGCACTTTCTCAAAATTTAAGTACACCTCCGGCATCCTCAGAGTGTGGAACCAGCTGGGTCATGTCGTGTTGGACCAGTCGCAGATCGTCACGCGGGAGCTCCACCTCCATGTGAAATTCGACATGATGTGCTAATTAATGGCGACCACCGCAGTCGTCCTGGCAAGGGAGCGAGTTTGGAGGACCTCGTTGACTACAGTCTGGGTGCATGGTGAGGACGCTGTCGGGAAGCAGCATGAAAGAGGCACTGGCATTGCACACCAGTTCAGGATTTTCCGCACATCGCAGGCGCAAGTACGAGGGATATTGTAACTTGTATATTCTAGGGTTAGGGTAATATAAGTTCAGTTTTAGAGAGTAATATATTTCTTATTATTTTGTTTGCTGTTTTTGCATTGTTTTGTACTGTCGAGTAGGGCACAACTTGAAGCGTTGCACCTCCTCGATGGAGTGCAGTTCTTTGACACCTCACGCTAATAAGTTGTAACCGTTCTATTCTAATATGCCTTGTTAATTTGAGTGTGGTGTTGATGTAGGTTGGGTTTTCTTCCAAGAACGCCAATTACCGGAGATGAGGGGTGAGCTTTAGACCTGTGAGGAATTTTGTGAAGATATAAACTCGCATTTCGGAAGTAAGGCAATATTGAAAGCGAATTTTTTGTTGGGTAGTTAACTGGGGAATAAAATGGTAGCGAACAACTATATGCTTGGTTTGCGAATGAAACTTGGTCGTATCGACTAATGCGAGTGCCAACTGATTGTCGCATTGGATGAGAGTGGCTTCATGGAGGCTCGCGGCTTGATATAGGTCATGAAAGAGGTGCCACAGCCAATTTTTAGGAAGCTCAATTAAGACCCATGTTTTATTGGCTGCATGCAAGTTAAGTTCATCGGCAATGGCGGTCTTCCATTGAGCAGCTTCGAGCGATGACAGCACTTGCTTGTAGGTCGTGGGTTTGAGCGGAACTAGAGCCAAGGAGTAAAGAGCGTATTTCTTCGAAGGCGAAAGAGGAGGTTATCGTCGAGGGAGTAAGATGTCGGGATTGTAATTTTTATTGGGATCTTGAGGGAGAGGGACATTCTTCGTAGATTACTATGATAAGCAATGTAGAGTACAGGCACCATGCGGAGAGATTGCAAAGCATCAAGTGCTTCATCATGTATAGATTCAATCAAAGGAGACCGCAGTTGATAGCTCCAAGGTGGCCTAGAATGATGCCCAATATGGGGCATAACTTTGAGGCCAGACCACACATCCACATATAGGGGGGGAGAGTCTGGATGTAATTGTACCAAATGGTGGAGAAAACCTTCATGATCATCAAGCTAATCAATATGCAGAGCAAGGTCTAGTGGCAGAAGAGTAGGTGATGGAACTAGTGATGTGGCCAGTGGCAAATTGTTGGGATTGAGTAGATTAGAAGAAGCTGTCAGAGGCAACACTGTATTGAGTTGGGACTGCAGCAACTACATAGTCACTGATGGTGAAGTAGGAGAATTTGCAGGGAGTGGTAACAAGGAAATAGTAGGCACAACATCCTTGGACACAGATTTTAAAAAGTCTAGATTTAGTCTATTATTCCAAAAGAATAATGAAGATACAAATCAAAAGCTAGAGAGGGAGATGCTGTATGGCCAGAAGGTAGGCTCTCTTCCAGAAACACAACATTGCATGATGTGATCATGGCTTTAGTTTGCACATCTTTAATTGACCTTGTATACCATTGTTTGCTAGGTACTGATCAAAATCAGAGGAGAAGTATTCTCCTTCTTGATCAAAACAGAGAGTACAAATTATATAATTAGTTTGTTTTTCTGCTGTTACATGAAAGTTCTTGAAAAACTCAAAGCACTCACTTTTTTTAGCAAAGGAGCCTAATGATGATATATCTTGAAAAATTGTCAATAAAGTAATGTAATATTTATATCCAAAAAAAGTTGGTGCTACAATTCTGCTACTTAAGTTAGAATGTATAATTTCCAAGGGATAAGTTGCTTTGAATGTAGCTTCTTTAGGAAATTTTGTGATAGTCTATTTTCCATGGATACATAAAAGCATGTACCAGAGGGAATTGTTTTGAGAGAGACTTCATTTATTGTCTTATTTTGGATTAGTTGTTTCAATCTGGAATTATTGATATAGCTAAGGTGTCGATGCCAGAGGTTGACTTAGGTATGATCTGTTGGTCGAGAAGGTGTTTTAGTAGATAGTTTGATGCAAAAGGCATAATAAAGTTGGCAGTAGGCGATGGTGTTGGGTTGGGTGATGATCTGAAGCAAAGACATTGAGGTGTATTGATTAATAATTTTTTGAATGGGGTTGTTGTTTTGAATTTGGATCTGAAGCATAGTTGTGATTGTTCTGAAAGTATGGTGAGCAGGAGTTGTTGAGCCAAAACTGAATAGTGATGTCATTGCAAGTGTCATCAAGATGCAACCATAAGAAGGAAATTGTGTTGATGTTGTTATAGCTAGAAGATTGTGTTGGAGTAGAGATTGGTGAGAAGAGTGACTTGCCAAGATCTTCTATTAAAAGATGAGAGCTTGCAGCCATAAGAGGCATTGGTACTGAAACTGCTATGTTGATATTTATTAGAGCAACAAGGAGTGTCAAACCCAAAAGATAGATATTTTTTTGGAAGAAGACACCTAGTGAGGATGTGATCATTACAATCCATTAGTTTATATTTTTGGTTTTTTATTAGAAGTCCTATTGTTTGATTGTATGTACAAACTAAAAACAAATTTTTGTATAAATTTGGGACATAAAAAACATTTGAGAGGCAAAGTATGTGCTTTTTTTTCTAACTGAATTTTATCTGATCTTTGTTTATAGATTCAAAATATTATATTGTCTCCAAAATGCACTTGATGATTATTAAGTTAGAGAATTTGAAAATCAATAAATAATATTTTAGTATAAGCTAGATGGTATGTAGCTCCTATATCGACAAACCATTGATTGTCTCTAGAATCTCCAGATTGGGTGGATTTTGCTGAATATAATACTTGTGTGAAGTAGACATGACCATAGAAAGAAGGTGGGATTTCTTCTATAACTTCACCTTTCCATATTGTTTTTGGTTTTTTAGAACTGTATTTAGCTATGGCATAATTTACAGTAGCTTTGTTTTTGTTCTTAAATCAATTCAATCTCCAATGTTCCATCTTCTTACAATGAAGACATGGAATTGTAAGCTTGGTTTTGGATTTGTTGTTTTTATATTCTTTTGAATATTGTTTTGGTGGTAGCTTTAATTGCTATTTATCTTTGCTTTTTTGATGGATGAAAAGAGCTTGTGATTTAGAAGAAGAGCCTTTCATGGTTGTCTCCTCCTAAAGAAGAATAGAGATTTATTTAGAAAGTCTTACATTTCTTATTGTTCTTAATGTTTATATAATAGTTCCATATTATGATGGCATAGATCTCATAAGAGTTAATATTTTTATTTGTGGTGGGATGACAATTCCTACGGCATCGTATTATTGAAGTAATTTTTTAAAATTATATAGATGTTGTATTACTGAGTCTCATGCTCTCATCTTTTATGTGATGAATTTTTCTTATAGGTGTGCTTGAGTAATTATATCACTTACTCAATATATATTTTCAAGAGACATCCAAGCTTCATTTGTTGTTTTGCATACTCCTACATGTGAAAAAATCAAGTTATCTACAGAATTCTATAATGCAATAAGTGCCATTTGATTTTTCTTCTTCCATGTGAGTATTTCATTTTGATTTGTTAGTGATATTTTAGTTGTTGAATTTGGTTCTAAGATAGGAATTGGTTCTTTTTTAATTCCTAAAATTAGATTCCAAACATCTTCTATTTCAAATTTTATTTGAATTTTTTGTTTCTAGATTGAGTATCATAATCCATTAAACTTAGGCAATTCTTTAGTAGAGAGTTTGTTTGTAGCCATATTCCTAAAAAAAGAGGTTTATTGGTACTCTAATTTCTTTGAAAAATATCTTCAATAAAGCCTCCTTCTTGTGAATTTTCTTGTTACTTCTTTTCTAAAACTTGTTTTTTTAAGTTTTCAAAGAGAATATTTGATACTATATTTAAACTTATATATTCTAGGATTAGAAAAATATAAGTTTAGTTTTAGAGAGTAATATATTTTTTTATTAATTTTTTTTATTAATTTGCATTGTTTTGTAATATCAAGGAAGGCACAACTTGAAGGATTGCACCTCCTTGATAGGGTGCTATTCTTTGATACTTCATGCTAATGAATTGTAACTGTTCTATTCTAATAAGGGACAATAGAGTCACTAAGATATTTCAAAGGCATCTTAATTATAGCCTCTACATATATAACTTTTTACTTCTAAAAAGTGGTTGTGTCTTCTTAGAATTGGAATAGATAGTTGGCTTGAACTAGTGAAAAATGCCACACTTAAATTTCCCATCTCTAATTGTCCAATTCCTATTGGAATTACTTATGAGTAATAGTCAAAGCAATATGTAGAATTCTTGACTACATATGGATAGTGTGATATTATCACGAGGATGTACTTTGTTTTCACTATTTAAGAACAGTTGAAATTTTATAAATTGTTGTTTGTTGTGGGCCAAACAATATGAGGTATTGAACCATGTTCAATGAACATTGTTCATTTTTTTTTAAGATATCTCAAAAATAAATGCTTGTGTGAGATAGACATGGGCATAAAATGTGGGAGATATTTCTTCTACATTTTTTGACTTCTATGTTTGTTTATTCTTGTCATTATTGTAGGGAGATGTTGCTAAAATTGCAAAATTCTTTGCTTCGTTTTTGAAGCAATCGGATCTCCAATCTCGGCAGCGGCTTCAAAGTCCGATGCCCTTGCCCAAAAGTACCCCAAAAGTGGAAGCTTAAGAATCTTCTCAACTCAAACTATTTTTTTTCTCTGCCTACATTATCTCAATGCCGCTTTGCAATGCAAGATCCCACGGCAACAGAATCCTCACACTGCGAGAACCTGAGAGTTGCCACGGTAATTCTAAAGACCAATTGACTTTAGTGTTAATTCTGCATACTGTTGTGGACAGACTTCACTTGTTCCACTTTTTCTGCTTCAATACTACCTGCAGTAAAAGTTATTGCCTTCGCAATTTTCAAAAAACTGTGGTGATGAACTTCTATGCTGAAAGTACTCTGAATGTGCGCTTGTCCCTTCTGCCAACCTTCAAAGCTCAGGTTAGCTCTAATATGCAATTTTGTAATGCTGTGAGGTGCCCATACCTGGTGCAATGGCTTAATAAATGATAAAAAATACTGATGTACATTCGTTACCCTGCATGTAGCTTCAGCTAACTTGAACATGAACATGAAGTAAAACTGCTCCACGCAAAGAATATGCCAGTTCAATCTAGATGCTATTGATTTGGAATAAATTAATCGTGGACATTGTTGGTGGTGGATGATAAGAAGGGATTGGAGTTGGTGAAAGTGAGCTTTCTGACTGGCCGACCTCAACAACCTCTCTTTCATTGAGAATCAGGTAATGAACTTTTCATGAGCTGTATTCTTAGTTAAAGTTGCAATCGTTCTCTCCCATCACGCAGATGCTAGTGCCGGTCATAAACGACCATCAATTAGTCTTGCCAGCTGTATCAATACCTCAAACTAAAATCTTGTTTGCGTGTGATAGAACTGGATCCATTAGGTCAAGTCTCAGACTTAGTGGATGGCGACGCCAAAAACCTTAGTGAATGTGCAGACACAGCAGGAGCAGGCTCATAATTCGTGCTTAATCAGCAATATTGGTAGTATCAGTCAATGATATTTGACAGTAATTTCATCCTTATGTGATACTTCGGCATTAAATGAAACGAGCAGAAGTAATGTATCGGCTGTGGAGTGCTTACATCATCATTGAGTGGCTGCTATTGCAGAATCTTCAACCGTAGCCAGAAGCATCCCGGCACACAGCCGAGAAGTACCACGATCAAGGCATGTCTTTCAAAAGAGAAACCATCAACCAAACGATTGAATTGGAGGTCCAAAACCTTCATCCAGCCATTAGACCCATTGTGATGGATTCCAAGATTCTCAACGTAGAAGCGACCTGTCAACGAGGACAGCTGTTTGGATGGATTTGACAAACACGCCTTGGATGTTAATGAGATATATCTAGACGTTCGGGATTAACCACCTGGTTGCGGAGAATGAATAAATTGCCGACGCTTTCTTCATCCTTTCTTCCAACTGGGTCAAGGCTTCCAGGCTAAGAATACACGAGAATCACCCACATGTATCAGCATGGCTAGCAACGGTAACACCAGCCGCCCAGCGTTTTAAGCAAGGTGACAACTGGAGTTGTGCACAAGAGCCTTTGATGCAGCAAAGAATTGTCTCAGAATATAGCTTCTGCAGGGTGTCAATTACTGTTGGACCCAGTACAGCCAGTTATTTTTAACAAACGTTACTCAAAGTAAAGTGCAGATTATTGGCAACATTTCCATTGAGATTCAATGGTCCTTTCAGCAGATTCTTTGTGGTGCTTGCCCGCTAGAACAAAAGTTCCTGAGACATGCTATCGCTGTCTACACGAACAACATGATAGATATTTTAAGATCCAGTCGACATTATGGTTAGTGTGATCCTTAGGGTTCAAGTTGCGTTTTATTGTTCCAGACATAGAAATGAATTAGAGTGAATTTACTTACAATTGGGTTCTATTATTGACTTGTCCAAAAAAACATCATAGAATTGAATACCAAACATGTTAAAAGTGACAGGAGTTTCTTCTGAAAGTGGTTTAATTAATTGGGCATCTTTGTCTACAACTGTGATGTTTCAATAATTCTTGCTTCATAAATTTGCTC